AATTTTAGGTCTACAGTTTTCATTTGGAAGCTCGTTTTCTCAAAGGAATATCCATACCTACCTCCCCTGGAACCAACTGTCCCAAAGTGCTTCCCTGTCTTCGAGGACGCGGGCCTCACTGCTGGAATACAGCAGATCAGCACGTGTGGAAGGACTACTCAAGGAGCCACTGTGCCCACTATTTGCATTTTCCAGGTCAACACAGATTTACAGTGCTATCAACGTTTTAAAAGTGGCAATAATTGTTACCTGCTGCTCTTTCTCCTTGATAGCATTATAGGAAATGTGGCAGACACCAGCAGAGCCACTGCTACTCCAAGACCTTTTGTTTCCCACGGGAACATCTATAAGCACATCTACCAGTGACAGGCCAAAGCTGTCACTTTTGGTTTCCAGTTTCAACATGGGCAGAGGAACCATTCTAAAACCATCCTTTTCTGGTGCTGTTAAAGCCTTAAAGCAAAAACATCTGTGCTAGGATTTACATAAAGTAGAATTCTTTATTTCTTCTATTTCATGGAGGAAAAAGAACTCCCGTCTGTTAAGCAATAAATTGCTGTGGGACTTGCCTGTACCGGGAATGCATATCAACTTGAATGCATCAGTGTAAAAATCAGTCTCATTAAACTAGCTCAAAGCCCTAAAATGGATAGAATACTGTTTTAATATTTGCATATAGGGATTAATATCAAAGTTATGATTTACAGGAGCTCATAATGAATATAAACCAGGATTGAAACAGCTGATGTGCACCTAGATTACTCAACAAAAAATGTTCAGTGTAACTGATTTTGAAAATAGCAGTTAAGATCTCTCTTCTGTAGCCCATTCAAGGCCTCAGAGGAATACAGTCTGTTGGGATATAGCTCTTCTTATTTTATGGTGTACTAGAAACAACATATAAAATACAAACACATGGAGGCCAAACTAACACCTGCACTCTGCCCGTTATACAAAGGGATGTGAACTGAAGTCAGTGAAGAATTTCACCACAGAAATGTAACCCAGCAGATGCCAATTCGCTTTTAATTCTTTTTAACGAAGCCGGCAACTAACATCAAGCACGGCATGTAGCCGTTGTGCAGTTGGTGTAACATAAATGCATTGCATGGACTCCTCTCTGACAACAGTCGCAATGGAAAGGGCAGGTCAAACTGGAAAGGATCCTATGGAAAGTCCAATGAGCAACAATTCATTAATGAAATTTACGTTAAATCTTTATAGAGCTGCAGTAATGTAGTGTTTCTCAAACTATTTTGTACACTGTCATTCTCTTGTCCTGCAAGGGGAATGACTAATGTACATACGGAAAAATTTGAGGGAGTTCTTAGAAACCGTAATATTCTGCTTGATCATTCATAACCAAATACGTAAAGAACTATTCACCGTATCGCTATTGCGCAGCTTGTATGAGATCTCCATAGCTACACTCGGCACAACAAGTACAAAACCGAAGTGGCTTTGCAGGGCTGATAAGCAGACAGGAAGCAAGCGAACATCTGCTGCAGCTTTAGACGGTTTTGCCTTCAGCGACCGTTGAAAAACTTCAGGCTCTGCATTCCATGTACTGCTGGCTTGGCCTTTGACACTACCAGCTGTTCAGCGGGAGACATAAAATGTTATACCTACAGAAGAGGAGGTGCATTATTTCCTAAAGGAGTATTGGGGTTTTTAATAGGATTTTTTTCTTTCCATTTCTGATTGCTAGAAACACTGGATAGCAGATGAGTTATCTCCTCAAGGTCTACCACTTCCTATTTTACAATTATTTTTTTCTAATGCTGTGTTTTCCTCTCCAAAACGACTTTTGTTTTGTTTTGTTTTGTTTTGTTCTGTTTTAAACACCCAAAACAATTGCACCGTATACTGAATAGTAATTATAATCATCATAATCATTGTAAGGAAACCACGTGCTTCCCTGAATCAGGGTTGGGGCTTCCAGTCCAGGCAATCTGTCTTCTTGTAGCATAACAGCATTTCTATAGCATGGACAGCCAAGGAACAGAGTGACACAAAACAAATATCAAACAGTTTAGAGCAAAATATTTCTTTGTTTGAAGAAAGAGCTGTTGAACGTGACGTGTTAAAAACGAGCTCAGCCATACAGTGCAGATTCTCTGCTTGTGTGTGTGGAGGAAATCTCTGCTCCACATCGTTCAGCAGCTCTCCAGCTACATCCTATCTTTATCTGCATGGAAAACTACTAACAGAGAACAACCGACGGCAGCGCATTTCTTAGCATATTGAGGCCCGTGGACTGTAAATGCATCTTTACGTACTTCCTCTGAGACTGTAATTTTGCCTAGGAAATTACAACAGTTGTGATGAAATCGGATTTATCCGTATATGGTAGATCCTTTGGGTCTGACACAATGAAATGACGATGGGTTTCAGAGTAACAACGAGACAGATGAAGACACTACTCCAGAGTTATGTAAGTGTAACTGAGAAAAGAATTTTGCCCAGAAATTTTATGTTCTGTGCTTTGGAGTCGTATGCAGTTTTTTGTATGTTCTATTCTTGAACTGCAGATGGATGCTGTTTTGCCAAAAAATAAATGAAATACAAAGATGACTTCAAACATTTGCAGGAGCCATGCTAACACTCAAAATAAAGAAACATCAAGTAACTTTCCTAGTGTGATCCTAAAAGCAGAGACACGGTGATCAAAGCAAGAAAATACAAGACTCTTACTCCATCCCTAATACAAGACGCTTTCTCTGTCTAGTACCAGGAGCTTACTGGGCCCAGAGACATTTCAATGACCTACAAATACAGTATATGAGGTGGATACTTGGCAGTATTTAGTTAGTTAAATATGGGAATATCCACAAAGACAGTGAATTTTAACCCTTTAGACTGGCAAATGACTGACTCAGGTTATTATTGTATAATAAAGATATCGATATTATTAATAATAATAGTAGTAGTAGTAGTGATGGCAGTAACATATTCCTTTTGGTGGAGCCCTACCGTAATCCTGAGTACTCTCTGCAAACACAGAACAGCAGATTGCTTTTGCTCTGAAGAGTATACTCTCAATCAGGTAAGAAAAAACAAGAGGAAAAATACTGGATGAATTTGTACTAGTGGCAAATATCTTAATAATTCTGTGATTTTGGAGGGGCTTGGTTGTATTAAGCCAAAAGGAGTTGCTGAGCATGAAAACAGAGAATATAAAGTAGGAATGTCTGCATTATTTGCACGATCATAACACTATTATCTTCTGGATTTCACAGGGAACTGAATTTTTTAAACTGTATTCATGCTAGAATAATTAAGCATCTGTCTTGAACTGTGTGCACATTGCAGCTAACCAGCTTGGAAACAGGCCAAAACTTGAAGCAATTTTTAGAAGAATTGCAGAATCAATACGTCAATTCCCATTAATCTGGTGTCAGAGGAAACAAATGTGTACCTGTCTGAAGCCTGTGCGTTCCCTGCAGAGATGTACTAAAATTGGCATCTTCTGTCTGCCTTCCTTCCCCGTGCCCTCCAAACATCAGAAACCAGGGTCAGAATGGGGAAACCTTGCCTGGCTCCAAAATCTAATGGAGCCTGTTTTAGTAATGCAGAATCCTGGCCGGGTTATAGACAAAGTCTTGGCCAAATCCAAGTCATCCCAAACTCTACCCCACCCACTGCACCAAGTTCCTTGTTGCTCCCCTGCTGCTCCAGTCCCTCCAAAATGCATCTCCACTCCAGCGCTGAAAACATCGAGGCAAGCCGAGATGGACCTCCTTTCAGCCTGCCAAAGCCACAAGCTGTAATTCTGCACGGTGGTGACACAATATTAATGACTAAGCATAATCGAGAGTACATTTTAAACCAGCCAGAGTTCTTGCTCTATCCAAGCTCCAGAAAATGTGCGGTGTTCCAAACATCTTGCACATCTTGCTCGCTGCACAGCTGGCCACTGAGAAAAATCTTGTCCCAGAAGGTTTGCTCGAGCACACGAAATGCATTTTTAGCATCCCAAAGGTGTGCGTGCTCACAGAGCTGAGAGCACAACCTGCCTGACAGCAGCTGTCCAGAGAAAGGAGCAGGGAAGAGGCAATGGGTGATGAGATTAGCCCCCACAGAAGGAGACTCCTGTTTGGAATATCAACACATCTTTTCAGTCTCTCTCATTGCGATTGTTTGTGCTTTTATCAAATTTTCAGTTTGCTTCTTAAGCTACGGGACCAGATGGCTCCCATGCATTACGCACTGAATCATAGCAAGGCTTGAGGTATTTGTTATGTGTAGCAGCAAACACATGCGCTGGACCAGGTTAAACTCTGTCACAGTGAGCATATGGCGCGTGCTGCCTATGGATGGCACTACAGCAGGTATCTATATATACATACGGTCAGGAGACTGGAGTATCTTGTCTTCCTGCAGGTTGTCAGGAAAATGACTGCCATACCTTCAACACAGATAGCAAGAAATAGAGGCAGTGCAGCGACACATGGCACAGGACAGATGCTAGGCGCTTCCCGTGATGCGCAGTGCCTGATGGCAAGGAATCCTGGTGGGCCAAGGACAGGAGGCTCCTGTTCCCCCTCTGATTTCCCCTTCCCTTCCCCGCTTGTGATTCAGCTGGTGCTGACACCTTGCCCGCTGCCTGTTTGCACAGCCAACAGCCGTGGGCAGTACTGCTGGCCACCAGGCCCCTGCTGGAAAAGGAGATAACCTCACTGCTTGAGAGCATCTTTGCCTCTGGCATTTTTTAAATGGAAGACAAATGCTATTTTCTCCTCACTTGCCTCACGCAGATGTGGGGTAAATTCAAGGCGTGGCACACCTGTAAAACTAGAGTGAAGGACAGGGGAGCAAACGCAACACTCACTGCTCAGCGGAGGGTAAGGCTGCAGGGTTCATACAGAATGATTTGTGCTTCAGGGGCAAGACCGTAAAACTCACCCTGCAGTCGTCCCTCGCTGATGTATCGCAAACACCCATTTCTGAGCACTGAAAGACACTGAAATAATGCAAGACGGTTTTTGGATTCCTAGGAGATGACGGTTTCAGACAAGCTGAGACTGCCGTGCTGGGACTCGGTGCAAGGAACAGATCCCAGGGTGGTTGAGGGATGTCCCGAACAGCATGACTTGACAAGGTCTGTGTGCTCTGGGTCACGCAGTGAAGGAGTTGCCAAGCAGCTGGCCGCTTTCCGACAGCCACACTTCACCCCAAGTATTTTCTGGGATGAGAAAATTATCTTCTGGCTATTTTTCAGCCTCCTTTTCTTCGTAGGTATTTGACATAGCCCCTGTGTTCAGAGTGACAGGACATCTCATGTGCAGGTGCTGTGACAGGCGCGAGCGCCGGCAGCGGGACGCCTGGCAGGGATGGGAACAGCGACCGGGAATGTCAACACCGCAGCCTGGGCAGAGCAGCTCTGAGGCAGGTTAATGCGTGTTGCCACCACCTTTGAGGTCAGCATTGGGCTCGCTTTAGCAGTCCTATAAATAGATGTCCAAGGTTGACCGAGAAGAGGATTTGGCTCTATGGATCTTGTTCAGCATTCCCAAGAGAGGAAGGCAGCTTCTTTTCCTTTTTCTCTTCCAGCCTCTAACCTTGAGTTGGTCTCTGTGGGAAACATTCGCGGCCTTTGCCAAACAGAGCTGCCGCTGTGAGCCAGACGTCCTGCTGCGTTGCACAAGCCATACGTACGCGTCTCATCAACTTGCAAACCCAGACCTAATTCCGCTAAAGACTCAAACCAATTCCTCACTGGCAAAAATGGGGAAAAAACCCAAACAAACCTGGAGCCTAATTGCTTGAAAGCAGTGGGACACCTAGTGGGTTTATAGGGAATATCTTTGGGATTATCAGCAACATTTTGTCATTTTCTTGGCAAACCCAACTATGAACACATTTATAGAGGTATCATTGAAATATCAGGGTTTCTATTTAATAAATTAATCTTGTTATAGCTGTTACAGCCTCCGGTTTGCCTGAAGAAGTTATTGCACCCTATAAAAAAACAATGAGTATTGTTTGAATGATTTGAAAAAAAAATAATTGCGGCGAACTGGATGGTTCTCAAGGTCTGGGAACAGGAGGAAGGGTATTCTGCCATATCAAAGCCATCCCAGTTGTTCCATCTGACAGCTCTCTAATGATCTTAATGAGCAAGGTTTTATAGTCTCAGCCTGGCTCCCTGGATAATTGTACAGCTTCACAACACGCATCGCCACACTGAGCACAGCCAGCCAGCTCCCTGGGTTGGTTCAGCCTTTTTTGAAATCAAAAGATGTTTTCTTCATTCCCCAGAGCTGAGCTTCTGAATCCAAATTAGAAGACGATGGGACATGTGATAACGCTTGCACGGCTGTTGTGGACATTGTATTTGTCTGGTAGTGATACCAACATCAAGCAGATTTTGACCCTATATAGGAAATAAAACCCTCTGGAAGGGTGTAGTAAGAGGAAGAAGATTCTGAGATATGTCTCAGAAATTATATCTTGGCCAGCAATTATCCTGGAGCTGCCAGTATTATCTTGCTAGTGTGTCTCCGGAGGCAGCAGACGCAGACAAGGAGATGCGTGTTGAGTCCAAAATGGGTGCAGGAAATTGATGACTTCATTTTGACAGTCATCACAAGAAACACCAAGTCATCGAGTCTGTTGCCTTCGATCCCTGTTCCCGAAGCATGCCAAAAGCTTCCCTTCCCTTCTGCTTACCATAATATTGTCCCAGTGAAAAAACGTCTCCAGAAGACGGTTAATTTTTCCAGAGCTGCTCCCTTCCCATTCTTTCTTCAGTGCTGCAGAGATCCCTATTGAACAGCAAAACCAGGATGAGGTTTGATTTTGGACAGGTCCCCATTCAGATCCAGGTCCTTTTTTATTCCAACTCCAGGGTTAGGAAACAAAAGGCTGATACAGCAAATAATTTTTATTGGGTCCATTTCATCTTATGTATTATTTTCTTCTTAGAGCTGCAGAACTAGAAAGGGAATGTAGCGGATGCTGGAATTCAAGTGAGTTATCAGCAGAAAAATTCCTACTGACTCCATGCATTTTCATTACTCCTACCTCTGGCATGGAATTACCTGAAAAATAGAAATCCTTCTACATTGTAGACCCTTTAATTTGGTCCAGGGTTTTAGAAAGAGAGGCGTTTTTTTATTTCAATGCATGAATTTTACACTTTAAGTTGTTTTTTTTTTCTGACTGCCATGAGAAACTGAGGGTAGGGAGTGCTAGGAGTGTGCCTTTCTCTAATTCAGCAGCTGGGTTGGAAAGCTTGAATTATCTCTGCATAATTGCAATGATTCATGGATTGTTACAAAATTGCAAAGTATTGATTGGATTTCCCCCTTAGGAAGTATTTCTCCTCTGATAAAACAGAGAAGGTTCTGGGGCTTCGCTTTTGTCCTTCCTGCCTTCCGCCCCGGGGAAACCAGTGGCTTCTTTCATCTGGGAAACGGGAATTTGGGTCAACAGCCATTCAAGGACAATTCTGAATTATCGCGATTTCCAATTCCAGATCTTTCCCTGAGCTTTGCAAAGCATGAACAAGGATTTCAGAGCCAGAAAAGCTGAAACCAGCAGCAAATACAGGCCATCTCTGTTTCACATTCTTCTACTTCCATGTCAAATACCACTGGTGTATTCTGCAAAGAGACCTTAACCTTGTTGTGTGAAGCTACAACCGCCAAAGACCGTGGCAAATTTCCTCCTTTATTAGGCCAGGATTTCTCTTGGGGTCTCAGGAGTCGGTGGCAGGAAGGAAGTGGGAGAATGAAGTGAGAATCGGGCACGGGGAGAGCCTGATGCAGAGCGCCTGGGGCTGAGCAGCTCGGAGCCGATAGCCCCGACACACATCTGCGCCTTAATGGTGCTGCCGAGGCAAAGCTGGGGCCTTTTTGGCAGCTGCTCTATGAATTTCCAGAACAGAACCATAAATACACAGTTATGAGTGTGACCTCTGCTTCTTTTCTTCGCTAAATTGAACATCCAAGGGCCAGCTGAGTATCATTCCTTGTCTCTGCTCCAGTTGCTTGGAACGTGTTGCCTCAGCAAACGGTCGCGCCTAAGCACAAACCGAAGAATTACGAGGGTGCGCTAATTCAGGATTTGCAATGAATTTAGTGTTCCCGCAAGGATGACACTAATGGCAATTAATGCAGCAGAAATGCCAGCGCTGAGTGACTCTTCTCACATTAAAAGCCATCATTCCCAGAGCACAGAGTCCTCTGTTATTTCAGGCCTGAACTCTGCTTTTTGGCCATGTTTCATACACATGGGAGGTGTCCCAGGCCATCCCCGGGAGGGGACACAAAGAAAGAGCAGAGCAGCCAAAACCAGTCTGCGCTGACAGCGACATTTCCCAAGGGTTTGTATATTCTCATCTGGGGCTTGCCTGAACAGGAACAAAATTAACCCAGGACTGAACAGAATACAAGACTTTGATTTCTGGAGCTCCCTGCTAGCCCAGCGCTATCCTCATGCCCTGCTGTCTGTTGAGTCTTGTTAAGATGCAAAGTCCTTCCTGCTGTTTCAGTTTTCACCATGAAGAACCTGATTATAAATGATCAAATGCATTTAAACAGGCTTAGCTAGAAATAACCCCTGCTGCCGCTCATACGCATGGCAATCTGCAGAAATTTTCACGTTACAGTGCACGACTGGTAAAAACGCCTCTGCTTCGTAGTGTCGTGAGTTCAACAAGCGATAGCGGTACAGCAATGCAAGACTGATTTTTAGCTCAGCCAGAAAAGCCACTGTCCTCACTTTGTGCCCTGAAGTCTCGCGTAGGACGAGCCAGTTCCAGATGAGGAACAACTGCACTTTGGTGCAAGAGGAATTAACGCTTACGCACATGCAAAATGTAAATAAAGGGTGTTTCCAGGCTCACAAACAAAATCCAAAACACAAAAAGGAGAACAGCTCTTACAGGAGGATAATGAAAAATACTTCATCAGTGTTGTTGTTACTTTCTTTAGAACTAATATCAATTCTGGAGGATGAAACCAGGGCTGAGAAATGTCAAGAGAAAATGAACAGCTTTTTAACAACAACATTCAGTGGAGAACTGCAAATAGGATGCGAGATGGAAATGTTAACTACTGAGTTACAAATATACCCCAGCCCCTGAACATCAAAGAACCCATTACCAATTTTAATGCACTACTCAGTGCAGTAGGATAACTGCTGAGCAGAGTGGCAGGAGTGGGACAAGCATCTTCAGACTCCAGATTTTGGGCATTGGGGTTCATCTGGAGATAAAAAGCATGAATCTAAAGATGACGCACACTACAGCACCAGAGTGCGTTCTGCTCCTGCGAGGTCTGGCCTTGCCATGCCCTTACGGAACTGGCACATGCCATGATTCCCATGGGACACGCGGAGCGGGGTGCTGGGGATGCGACGCCCCGAACGCTCGTTGGGTTTTGTGCCCCTGCGGGAAGCTGGAGGTACCTGACCTGCCAGGGCACGCCGGGGGCTGGCGGCAGGACACGGCCTGAGCCCAGACCCCAACTCTCTGACCTCACCCACGCGCTCCCGGAGAGCCGCGCTCCCGCGGGGTGACCCAGCGCG